GGTAAGCCGCCTCTGGGGCTCGGTTCTCTTCTGCTTCCAGAAAAAAAAAATAACTCGCCCGCCGGGTAAGGATGGGGGACCCTGCCCTGAGTCTGTTCAGCGGCTCAGCTCGCTTTTCCTCCCCGCTGCCCCTCCTTCCCCTTCGGGTCACCCCCCCCACGAGGAAGGCCCCCGCTCCAGGCCACCTCACTTACCAAGAGGGAAAGTTCGGGAGCTGGAGGATGCTACGCCTTCGCTGGTCGGCGTACGTGTGGCTTTGTGTTGGTGTGGTGAAACGCCCGAAGTCACGAGCCCAGCAGTATGCCTTAAACCGGGCTGCATGTGTTGTGGTTGCCTGTCTTGGCTAAATAATTGTAATCCCTGGGAGAATGTAGTTTAGGACTACACTGTTTGTTTTTTCCGTGTGCCAGGATGTAATATCCTGGAAAAAGGATCATGAAGGTCCCTCACTAGAAGTTGGGAGGGAGAAAGTGCAAGTTTTGTGATTCAGTTTTGTATCGAGCTGATGCGCTGTTTCCCTTCTCTCCCCAGGCTGCGAAAGAACGTTTATCACAGTGAGCGCATTATTCTCCCATAATCGAGCCCACTTCAGAGAGCAAGAGCAGTTCTTCTGTTCGTTCCCTGGCTGTAACAAGCAGTATGATAAAGCCTGCCGACTGAAAATCCACATGAGGAGTCACACAGGTATTCCTTGTACCTGGGGAAGTCGGAAGATACTATGTGGAGAGTGGACCTCAGTTTGCTGGAAAAACTGAAAGCCATGAAGGGAGAAAGGGTGACAGGAGTTATTTGGAGTCAGTGAAAAGGCTTGATTCTTGGCCTTTTGCAGAGTAGGAGTCTGCTGAATGAGCTTGCCAAATGCGATGTAGCTATGGACATGCAAAGCTGTGGCTTTTGGCACGTGAACTCTGTTCAGAAAAATTATCCCAGTTCTATTCCCAACTTCATAGACATTCAAAACATTGGGTGGATTTTAATCTTGGCCAAAACAAATGGCTAAAAAACTTTCAGAACACATGAAATGTGTGTACCAAGGTCTGGAACAGCAAGAAGATAAATTTCAACTCGAGCAAGCACTTCTGACTTGCAAGGACCATTGCTAAGCTGAAATCCAGCCTTTTAGTCTTTTAAAGACGATTATATGTACTCTCAGCTGTCCTCTGTTTTCCTGGTTTCGTGACTTTAAAGTGTTTCGGGTTTTGTTTTTTGTGGTTTCTTTTAAAGTGTCATTTTTATTAAGTGAACATTCATAGATGTGATGGAAACTAGCTTCACTTACGTCACTGTATTGTAATCAACATATAATCACAGGCATGAAAACAAAAAAACATTTCAGTTGGTTTGTGTTTTGAATAGCGGTTAGTGAAGCACCTTCAAGATAGCTCAGATTAATATGGGATGGATTGATAATTTTCTGTGCTCCCTGATGCATAGGGAGAGACGCGATGGCCTTGAGTTAAAGAAGGCTCAGACTGAGTGGGAAGGAGGATCGCAGTACTCCACAGTGAATTGCAGGAGAGGGTGGTTGGGTCTTGTCTTGAATCAATTCAGTTTAAGCAGCTCTTGAGATTTTTTAGTGGCAGTGTGTGTTTCTGTATTAGATTACTAATGTCACCTTTCTTTGCTTAAGGTGAAAGGCCTTTTATCTGTGATTTTGAAGGTTGTGGCTGGTCTTTCACCAGTATGTCCAAGCTGCTGAGACATAAAAGGTAGCCTTTTCTGATTATACTGTCCTATGTCACTTGTTTGTTTGTATTTCTTTCTGTACTTAAGCAGCAGTGGATTTAATCATACTGATGGCAATTTCCTTCCCTTGTAGGAAACATGAAGATGACAGGAGATTTTTGTGCCCGGTAGAAGGCTGTGGGAAATCCTTCACAAGAGCAGAACACTTGAAAGGTCACAGTATAACTCACCTTGGTACGAAACCCTTTGAGTGTCCAGTAGAAGGTAACGTTCAACTATTGTATGTGTTAGCTGATAATTAGCGAGTATATTGCCTAAAAATTGTATGCCTTTTCCCCAAATGCAAGCTTGTTACAGGGTTGGAACAATTTAGAGCAAATCTTCTAGCAGAGTTTGAAGAGGTAAAACTAAACAGAAGACATTGTAACTGCATGAGTGATCACTCTACATTTTACCGAGTGCGGAGGAAACATCGGTTCATACTGTAGCATTTTTTCTTTATGATGACAGGACTCCTTTGTTCTGGAAAATCGTACTTCTGATACTCAGTTTCTGTAGCTCAGCTTTTCCACCTGATTAATCAGAAGTAATGAAAAGCGGCCCTGTCCAACACCTTCAAGGCCACGTTTTGCTGTTGTGACATGTCATCTCAAGTGTTCAGTGGTTGCGCTGTGGTAGTCTCTGCTGCTGGTTTGGTGGGTGGCTGTGTGAATGGTATCTGTTATGGTCATATGGGAGCCTCGCTGATGCTCTGTGGGTTTATTAGCACTAGCTCCATCGCTTTGGTAGGACTCAAGGAACAAAGATTTTGAGTCTGGTCTGGAATATTCTGCTTCCTAAAGTAAACCAGCTCTACTTGGTGATTGTTTCTCCTTTAATGGTTTTGCCAGCAGTTGTCATGAGGAGTTTACATTTAAGATGCCGTAGCAGGGAAAGATTGTGCATGACACTGAATGAGTTAAGAGTTTCTTGTTGTCAGAAACAAGTTGTTGAACTCTCCTGCCCACTGGGATGTCCTTGATGTTGAATGAGGAAGTGGATATCTCTTCTGATTCCTCCAAAAGTATGCACAGGCATTGCAAAATAGCAAATAGAGTTCTGCAGAGCTACTCCGGTTTGTTTTCTTAAGATACTAGATATGAACATCAAATTGATATTTAAAGCCTTGTGTATCTGCTTGCAGGCTGTTGTGCAAAATTTTCAGCACGAAGTAGTCTGTATATTCACTCCAAAAAACATCTCCAGGATGTGGACTCATTAAAGACTCGTTGCCCTGTATCGAGCTGTAATAAATTGTTCACTTCCAAACACAGCATGAAGACACACATGGTCAAACAGCATAACTTCAGCCCAGGTAAAGTGTGTGTTTCAAACTATAGGAGGGTGCAATGGGAAAACTAAATGTTTTATTAAGGAAAATGTGTATTTACCTGATGTTGAAATCAGAGCACCATCAATAGGAGTGGCAGAATTTTCATCGACACTGGAGTTTGTTTTCCTCCCTTAAAATTTTCAGTGGGGCCTGTAACTGAGTGTCAGAAAGTGAGACTTGAGCTTGCCCAGTGTGAAACTATGAGAAATTGCAGCTTTTTTGAATGGAGTAGAGCTTGTCCTTCTCTATGCCATCTGTAAAATATGAAGAAGGACTAGAAGCACTCCTTTTTGCATTCCTCTACAACCTAACTTAATCTGGACTGCCTTAGTGTTATGTTTTGGCAAGTGCTTTTGTGACTGAAATGTCTCAGTAAAGCAGTGAACTTACTTCAGTAAACTTGTTTTCCTTAAATCTGCTTTCAGGGAAGTTGGGAAGTGTTTTAATAGACTGAGAATCTAGAGTTTTAAGCTTCCTCCTGTGATCATTCATATTTTTCCTCCCTATTATCTGATGAAAGGTCTGTCTTATAACCAAACCCTTCTCTTCCAGATCTCCTAACTCAGCTCGAAGCAACCAGCTCCCTCACACCCAGCAGTGAACTCACTAGTCCAGGACAGAGCGATCTCAGCAACATAGACCTCGTATCCCTGTTCTCCAATGTGTCTAGTAACAGTTCTGGAATTGCAACAGACATGGCACTAGTGAACTCTGGAATTGTCACGATTGATGTTGCTTCAGTGGGCTCAACGCTTGGAGGAAACCTGCCTGTCAGTAACAGTTCTTTAAGCCAGGCAGTCGATCCCTTGATACTGGTGGCTAGCAGCGATATGCCGCAGAGCCTGGACAGTTCTCTCTTGCTGGGAACCAGTGCAACAGTTCTACAGCAAAGCACTTTAAATTTGGATGATGTGCAGACTGTCAATGCAGAAGCCTTGGGTTCACTAGCATCTCTGTCCGTGAGGAATTCCAGTCAAGATGTGCATGGCTTGACATCCAGCAATAATTTAACCATCGACACAGCCACTTTGACTCCTTCCAGTAGCCTTGGCAGTACCAATGTGCCTGAGTTACTAACACCAACTAAAGTTGAACGGAATTTGCTTCCTAGCTCGGATGTTGTTGGTCAACAAGAGGGCAGCAAAGTAGTGACGCAGTTTGTCTTCTCCAACCCTCCAGGGAGTTACAGTGCACAGAAAGAAATGGATCTCGGCACAGTCACTGGCAGCTCGTTTTTGGTACGCAGTAACTGTGTTCATTTTACCCCTAGATGACTGAGACACCCTGACTTTGGGGATATCCATTGCATCTTACACCTTATAGGGAGACCTTTCTCTCAGATTTTGCAGATTATGCATTTTGGCTTTTTTTGATGAAAGATGCAGAATGTTATGTTGAACAGGGTGTTGTCAGAAGTAGATTTGGTGTGGTGCTGAGTTCTGTTAAGAAATACTGGAATTCTGGTGGGGAGAGTTAAGGGAGAACCTTTCAAAATAAGGGATTAAAAAATAAGTGGCCACCTGTCTGAGGATGAAATGGAATTTATGAGAATACCCAAGAATCACAGAATGGTTTGGATTGGAAGGGACCTTAAAGAGCATCTAGTTCCACCCCCCTGCCATGGGCAGGGACACCTTCCACTAGACCGGATTGCCCAAAGCCCTGTCCAACCTGGCCTTGAACACTGCTGGGGAGGGGGCAGCCACAGCTTCTCTGGGCAACCCGTTCTACCCTCACACTAAAGAATTTCTTCCTTATCTCTAATCTAAATCTGCCCTCTTTCAGTTTGA